GTACAACTCTCCGAGCGAAGGGATGCATCAGCACCTGGAGTGGAGCACCTACAGGGACACTCATCTCGAAGAACATCAGTTACTGCACAGGTGAGTAACCTCCTCTTTTGCATAAAATGTTCTCAGCCTGACTCCTTTTCACAAAGCCCTTATTTACAGTGTAATTTACACCCACTTTAAGGCCAGAGTGATGTAAATGGAACTTTGTGGTGAGAATCAGAATGAGAATCAGGCCAAGAATATTTTATACAAAATTAAAACTTCTGTGATGCTATTTATTATTTGTAAAGAACTTACTATGGTCAGTTTGGGACAAGAAACAATATAAAAGCCACATCAGTGGTAAAGAAGACAGATATGTTGGGTGACCAGAAGAGAGGGGCAGTATTAGTTTTTATTTTGGAGAATGTTTTTCTCCTCTTATTCCTCTTATTCTCTCTTCCTTTTATACAGTGTTGGGGTAGAGAAGGCACTTGAAGAATATTAGTGTTAAGGCCTTACAGAATAAGGATTTGAAGGCCTTTATTAAAGAATTTGAATGAGGAGAGGATGTGATTGAAAAGTTATTCCATCCATTGGTAATAGCATAGATGAAGGCATAAAGCTAGAAGTGGAAAGAGGGCATGAAGGGGAGTGAGGCTGGCAGTGTTGGTAGAATGAAGGGAAGCGATAAGAAAGGTACTCCAAGATGTAGGCTGGAATGGAGTTGTATCTTCCTGTGATGAAGTCAGACATGGTCTTTCACCCTTTGTAATCTTCAGCTTCAAAGACCGCTTTCTTTTTCAGATTAAATCCTGAAAATCTTACTAAACAGCTACTCTGAGAGGCTTTAGACAAGAGGACCACATGATTTCTGACTCACTTTGTGGGGGAATGCATCCTACTGTTCTCTCTTCAAGTCTCAGGAAGAATTAGGAAGAAGGCATAAATGATTCCTCAGTGCTGAACTGACACAGGGATCACACTGAGATATCAAAACAGATAACGTGACAGCCCAAACCCCCTTCTTCCAGAACCTGTTACCAGTTACCCAGCTCTTACAACCAGATTAGTCTCTATATGCTAAGTGGGAGAGAGATATCCAAGGTTAACTTTTCAGCAGAGCCTAATTTGTCAGGCACTGAAATCCCATTGAAACTACTCCCTTGGGCTCCTTTGTAACCCCAAACTCACATTCCCAACCAAAGAATGTGATTGTCAAGGATGAGAAATATTGTCCTTTAACACAATATTAATAGATGTTAAATAAAAAACCCTAAACACTGGAAACTCAAGAAATCTAGAGTTAAAATTCCATAGCTTCCTGACTCTGACCCCGGCCTGGTCACTCTCTACCTATGAGTTGAAAACCCTCATCAGCTGCATATGTGAATTTCAACAATATGGTCCCTAGTTATTAAGAATATAGGTATTGCCATACTAGATCAGACCAGTGATTCATCTAGTCCACTAGCCTCTCTGATAGAGGCCAGAACCAAATGCTTCAGCGAAAGAAGATATAAGAATATTCACAATGGACAATAATGGGAAAGCTGGAAAACAGGCATTTTCCGCCTAACTACAGAGAAGCTAGTGGTTGGCTTAGGCTCTCAAACATGAGGGCTTATATCCCTTATACTTTTATCCTTTCTAATGTAACTGTGGATGTTCTTATTATCCATATAAATGGCCAATTCTTTTTTTACTCCTGTAAGTTCTTGAACTTAATATCTTGTGGCAATGAGTTCCACATGCTCGTTGTAGGTTGTGTAAAAATTATTTCATCTTATCAGTTTAAAATTGTATTGCCTCTGATTTTTACTGGGTAGCCCTTTATTCTTATAGTATGAAAACCAGGTATAAGAATGTGCACATGCTCTAGTGTTATAGGAATGTTGGTGGCTGTAAGCTGACAAAAGTTTTGTCAGTGAACCTTTGTAGTGAAGACATAGCCAAAAAGTACTTCAACAAAAGTACTTCACAGTGGAGACTCTGCCTCCGTTCTTTTTTCTTTTTCTTTTTTTTTAAACCAAGTATGTGGCCCCAGGAAACCCAGCTCTTTCCCAACAGGACTATTTTGGCTTACTATCTGAAAATGGCCGGCGTCCTAAAGTTTATTTTAATTATATACTTTATCACTATACCTTGAAACAAAACAGTAACGTGAGGGCTAGTCTTGTTGTTTAAGTGGAAAATTAGTCATTTGGAGGAAGCATGAAATCATTAATTTCACAGGCCAGCTATTTTAGCCAATTCCCCATGCAATCATTATGAGGAGTTTGTAGGGAGACTAACTGAAATCCTGAGAACTCCTGAAAGCTACAGTATTGTCTGTGACCCTGTAGCCCATTAAGATTTAAGATCAGTTGCACTTCAAATCCTCCCACTCCTGGATTTGTGTCTTACCAGATAAAAGCAATTTGTGTTCAGTTTATTATTAGCACAGACCTATTTTTGCTCTGATGCTTCCTAGCAACCTCAGTGGAGTATCTGTTTGCTAGTTTGCTTTTCATAAATTGTTATCATAAGGCCATGGTAACATACAAGGAAACAATTCTTGATGAACTAGCTGAACTACCCCTGACAAGATGAGGATATAAACAATGAGCATATTATAGCTACACACACACTTATTCATCTATACACACATATATACAAGGTAATATACAGTACATATGACATGGACATATATCACAGCTTGTAAGTATATACACATATGGTGATATCCATGTGAAAAATCATAGAACTATGTGAAGAACTAATATCATATATCTTTGAGCAACTCATCTGTCCCCTGTCCATCCATCTTCCCATCCTCCTTTGAACTTTTTAACATTCCAAAAATATCTTCAATGAGTTGTCTTTATATATGAAATAAAATCAACCTCTCAGAGAAATATTTACTTGTTTCCCCCCTCAAATTATGTTCAGTCCTGTAGTAGAGGGCAGAACATCACAAATTAACAATCCAATATCTCGCAGCCTTGCAGTGCTTTCCGCTTTTCTGTGGGATCCAATACTCACTTCTTCCTTTGGAAGGGCCCAAAAGAATGGATTTGAAAATTGTGACATTTATATAAATAGAAAAGCTGTCTCCTTCCACTTTTAGAGGGTTTTATGGCTTCTGCTGAGCCCAGAAACACTGAACTCGTGATAACTAATGTACCTGCTGTTACAGTGAGAGTATGAAAAATAGTCACAATAAATTTTCTTTAACATCTCTAAAGCATTCCTACAATAACTTTTTTCATGTACTATAAGTATCTTATACAGAGTATATGATGGATTGTAGTGTACAGATTTTATTGGCATAAGTTGGGGTTGACCTGTATAACTCATTTTGTCACTCATGAGTAATGTGGCTTCCTCAGACTCATGCTGATAAAAATATTTATACTCCTCTATCATGTTTTCTCTATACTACAGGAAGAGACAGTTGCAATGCCTGGTTGCCTAATATTTTCCATTAGAAGCCCCTGTTCTTAGTTGTTTTTAACTGCTAACATTCTCATATGGGCTGCGTACTCTCTGCAGCATGCTCAGATTTAAAGTGTAAGTAAAAGTGGCTCAGCCATTTTCAAGAATTAAGTTTGGGAAAAGAGCTAGTTTTGCTAATGTTAAAAGCCTTTTCTTTGAAGAGCTCTAGTGCCTCCATGGTAAAATTTGCAGAGTGATAGTCCTGGGGACAGAGAGGTATCTTTGCTGTCCCCATGAAAACACACCCAGATTTGGCCAAGTTATAAACCTTTGAAAATCACCATTTGTGTGTTTAGAGCTTTATAGACGCTTGCTGCTAAAATCTCTGAACCTTCCATGTGCACTGAAATGGCTTCACAGCTCCGCACAGATTGAGCATTACATGGGGCAGGAGCAGCACCTGCCTCTTGATCTAAGGGAAGGAGAGAGCCAGTAGGAAAGCATGAGTTCTTCTCTACTTACTGACTGTAATTCTGTGAAATTCACAACCCTTCTTATTGAGCAAGGCTTCATAACCCCATTTTACCATAACCCCTTAAGAGGCAGGCAAGTGTCATTCCCCCATTTTATCAGTGGGGCAACAGGTATTGCACAAAGTCACTTCAGACAGAGTTGGGAACTGGCCTCTGTTTCTGATATGGCAGAACCACAGCATGTCAAATCGATGTGCTTGGCTTTGCTATTTGTAACCACAAGAACAAACTCCCATCCAGAGCCAGGAATAAACTCCTAAATTTCCTCTGTTGTCTAGCAAATAATTAGGTAAGCCACTGTCAAAGTGTGTGCTGTGTCCCCCTCTAGTGGCTGGTCCACATAGATGTTAACAGCCCTTTATTACTACTAGTTACTCTCTTAGCTCAAGTTTTTGAGTTCCATGCTATGAATATAAAGGTCCTTGATTCAAACCCTACTGCTGATCCATGTGGCAATTAATATGGTTCCTTGTATTTTATTTTTCCAGTTCCCTGTTTCAAAAAACCTAGAAATGTACATACAATAATTACTTTAAAAGAACATTATGGTTGCAAAGTCAAGCATTCAGTAGTTAGGAAATAACAGAATTACAGTTGCCCATGAAAACTTAATTCAGCCCCCTTGTGTGTGCTGTATGGCATAGTTTAATTACATGATCATATATTCTTTGTTCTACAAGACACTTGCCTTATCCAGTGCACAGGATGGACAGTGAATGAGGCAGGAGGTAATAAGAAAAACAAGGATGTTCTATTCTGGTTAAGGTCCTAGACTGGGACCCAGGAGAGCTAGGTTTTATCCCTGAATGTGATAGACTTCATATGTGATGCTGGGAAAGACTATCATAATTCATACCCACAAGGGGTCAAATCAAGATTACAGAGGCAATCTTTATTCTGGCATTTCCCACCTGCTTGATTTTTCAATCTTAATATTCTTTTAATTCCCCCCCAAAGTACTCTGTTTGTGTACTATATACACATACTGCACAAACTGTAGTTGTAGTAATACAAGTGTGGTTTGCCTGTTGATTGTAGGTTGTCTAATTATATTGAATTGAAATCCCACAGGCTAGAGAAGATGTCATCCACATGCTGAAGACAGAGAAAACTAAACCTGAAGTTTTAGAGGCTCACTATGGATCAGCAGCTCCAGAGAACGTGCTGCGAGTGTTGCATAGGGATGCCATCCTTGCCCAAGAAAAATCCGTAGGGGAAGATGTCTATGAGAAACCCATTTCAGAGGTAATAACTTATCCAATTCCCCAAGAAAGGATGAATAGAGTGAGTCATGATGAATAGACTGTGCCCATTTACCTTGCTGTCATTTCACAAAGCAAGAGCCAAATGCAGTGTTCACTGCTCACACAAATAAAAGGAATTGAAGGGAAGGTGAATATTTCCTTGTTATGAAATCACCAAAGCATGTTCCCTGTGATAATAGCGTTGGGTCTGAATGCAAAAACAAAAGCTTCTCATGTTCTTTAGGGGACTTTGCCCTCCTTCCCCTGCTCCCCTAAGTAGTGAACTTGAAGCAGTTAAGCAAAAACAAACCCTCCCAGGATAGTGAATGGTTACATTTTGACTCTACATTTTAAATTCCTTTCCATTAATAGGTACAAATCTGTAGTGATAAGTGCTCTTGACAGTGTGTCTCCTGTTAGAGTATCATCAAGTGAGCAATTAGGATGAGAGGACTAGCTCACTCACACCAGTGTAAATTAATTACTCCACTGCATTCAATCCACATGCAAAAGAAATTTCTCTCCCACCCCAATGTTCATGAGACTGGATCATTGTATCAGGTGAAGTAGTTAAGTCTAGGGACCAAATCCCGTAGTCTTTACTCAGTCCTTAGAAAGTTTGTCTTCAACAGTCATTTTGCCAATATGATGACTGTGGGCCCAATCCTGCACCCAATGGCACCAGTCAGCCTGATTCTCTATTATAACACTGATTTTATGCTGGTGTAATGCCATTGAAGTCAACAAAGTTACATCAGCGTTGAAATGGTGTAACAGTGTGGAGAATCAGGCTCATAGGGAGCAAGATCAGGCTCCAAGTTAGACCCATAGCATTTGATCCTTGGTTTGAAGTCTATGGAGCTATACCAGTGTAGAATAGGTAGGAGACCAGAAAAAGGTCCTAATACCTACAGGGTGAATCCAAAACTGAGCACAGAGCACGTTCTTAAGGTAAAAAAGGCCATCTTTGAGATCAGTTATTAAGGTAAAGAGTTGCATCCCTAGGGTTTTAGTTAATCTCTTCTACCTTTTCTAAATACATCAGTAATATTGGTACAATAATTACAGTAATAATGGTACAATGGTTGAACAACCCACTGTATTAGATGACATCTTTTCAGAATTTAGAGTCAACAGAGTGATCAAACTGATTCAACATGCCTGGGTGATTGGTTATGTTAAAAAAATGTAAAGAAGGATCAGGACACATTGTAAACACACTTATATTGTATCTGTGATCCCCTCACCATACTAAAGGTGTCCAGTGCAAATTATGAGGCTAGGTATTCATAAGAATTGGCCAAGAGATCCCCATGTTAACTCATGCCAACATTTGATTCATATAGGAAAAAAGTGAGTCACAGAACACGCAAGCGTCTTAGGATGCATGCAGCCACTTTATTGCTTAGTACCAGAATAGGAATGGTGCAGCTGATGAACTCTACCCATATATCAAAAAACTAGCACTGATAACTGCCAGCCAAAAAATGTATAATATGCCACAATGTATGTACAATTTTTCAAGGACTCTCTGGGTAGAATACAGTACAATTCATATTAATTGTGTCTAGTAGAAGGCAATTTAAAATACACTGCGTACTTTTAATGTGACATCTTCTGGAATATTTGTGAGGCAAGTAAGCAAGGAAAACAGATTGTAGCATTCAGGAGGATACATTAAATATTCACTTTGAACAATGCTAAAAGAGCTTAACAAGACTCTTTTGTAATAGGTGGCAAGGGCACTGTGTCCATGGAGTCCCTTGGTTTGTGAGGGACCCTTTGTTCTCTGTAAAACTTGTACAGCAAGGAGTTTATTAGAAGATGATTGGTATAAAAATACTCCGTTTACAATATTTTCTGGCTTCAAAAGGTCCATTGTCCAGATGAGAATGCAGCTGATGCCAGGCTCTCTCTTTTGTGAAGTTTAATGAGCACCTAAGACTCTCCTGTTTATCATCTAGAGTTGTTTCAAAAGGGCTGCAATCCTGTTCTCATCTTTCCTTTAGCCCATTACAGGAATACCATAAAATAGCCACTAGCTTGGCCATTCCTGGCTATAGAAGACATGATTCCCACAATGGGTGGGCTGCGTGTGATCAGAGCAGGACCTAGTGATATTTTTGTTGGAGGCACATAATCAGAAAGGTACTGTGTGGGTCTACCTGAGTGGAAAGTTTGTTACAAACTGAATGAGAACTCAGCTTTAACTGCCCTCTCCCCAACAAAACACTGAAGGTAGCAGCGTGAATAGCAATGTTTGGTATTTTTCTTTCCTAGCAACTTTTTACACATGTACCTGAAAACCAGTGTTTGGAAAAATAGCTGGAATAATAATAATAAAATAATAATAATTAATAACAATATAATTAATAATAAAATTAGACCAAATAAAAAATATAAACCATTCCTAATAAAGTAATGAGATAAATTGTAAAAGAAGAGGAAGAGAGAAAAAGTCTAAATTGAACAGTAACCAGAAATGTATTACAAAAAATCCACACTGACTCTAGCTAATTTAGATTTTATTTTTCATCAATCAAATGAATGGCAGCTGCGACTATCTATTGCATGTCACAGATGTGCACCTACATTTTCAGCTTTAGGCATGCAACTTAAGTGCCAAACCCCATGTTTAGGCATCTAAATGCCCATCTAGCCATTTGAATGCAGGATTTAGTTGTCTAACATTAGGCATCTTAATTTGTACATAGGGTCCACCCTCTTTTGTTCTGATGGGTGCCCTTGACTTCAACAGGCTTGAGGACACATTACCTGACAGGAGAGGCTGAACACCTTGTCTGTTCATTGTCTCAGACCTGCCTCCCTGGAGGCACTGAACACCCTCAATTCCTCTTTCAGTTGGTAGGAGGTGAAGGTGCTCTGCACCGTGCTGCAGGAAGCACTCAGTCCTGCAAAAGTATTATACAATGGTGTCAGATTCCATTCTTCGTACATCTGGGAGCTATGCAAATGTTTAATATAAATATACTGTATAAAGAAATCATTCTTTTCACAGAACAATTGCTCTGGTTCCGAGCCGCTGCTTTATGTAAAACCCAAGACGTAAAATTACTGAACTGACATTTACTAAATACAGTTTATTCGGTTAGTTAATCAGCCTATGTCAGTGAATGAGACCTTTCAAACAGTCCATTCTCCTTTTCAACTATCCAGCTGGACAGACTGGAAGAAAAGCAGAAAGAGACATATCGACGCATGTTGGAACAGCTCCTCTTGGCAGAGAAGTGCCATCGGCGCACAGTTTATGAGTTGGAAAACGAGAAGCATAAACATACAGATTACATGAACAAGAGTGATGACTTTACCAACCTCTTGGAGCAGGAGCGTGAAAGGTGAGCACTAGAGTTACTATGTAGCATATCCTCAACATCTGGTCACTTCCTCAGTTAAGAAGTTAAATGTTTTTTTATATGATACATCTATTGCCCAGGCAATCTGTTTGTAAAATATCACTGTGATCACACTGTACTAACAACATTGTTCAGGTCCAGAGCTGGGAGATCCCACCAGACAGTTCTGTGAGTATGCACTCGAATTTTAAAATGAATTTGCTTTGGCCACACCAGTGCCCAATTTATGTTCATCTTCTGGAAACTTTTGAGTGATCCAATTTTATTTACATTGACTGAATTTTAATCTGGCATGCTGAACCCGAGGTGGTAGGTTTCCTATGGAATGGAACACTGTTTAGCACAGCAGGAGGACGTGGTTTCCAAACCCACATTCTAGAGCCTTGGCACGGAAGTGAGAAGAAGTTGATTGCACTCTTCACATCCAGGGCTGTGAATTCACAATTGATTGAAGAGCGATGCTTCAGGCAACATGTGTGTCTGTCCCAGGAAGGAAATGTTTTCTAAAAATTGCCCGGTCCTGCCCATCTGCTACCGCAGACTAGTTACAGACATTCCCAGGAAGAAAGATGCCAGATTCACTGAGTAAATTATTTGTTACCTATTTTCTCAGTGAGGTTCAAGACCATCTTTTTGTAGATGACGCATGAAGCTACAAAGTATGTATGTCTTGGCTGCATTGCTGAGCTGATTGACAAACTTCAAAGAGCACAAACTCTGCTGCATTTTACCCAGCGATGTGAAATGTTGTCACCTTCACAGCATATCAAGAATTATGTTGGCTTGTTTTTCCAATTAAGGAGTATGACAATTATCACATTTGGTGCTTGTATATAAATTATTTTTATATATGCTGAGTATTCATGTGTGTAGGGATACATATTTATGCCTAGAGACTACACAAACAAGGGTTTGATCCAAGGCCCATTGAAGTTAATTGAAAGCTACCCATTGTCTTTAATGATCTTTGAATCAGGCCTTTAGCACTATAGAAGTACATATTATAATAATAAATTATTATAAGAGTGTTGCAGTATTATCTTATCTGATTTACTTTCTACAAATCACCTAGCTCAGTTATTGCCATCTCACCATCCCAGCAATGAATTTGTGTTGTCCAAATAATGCGGTTTTGTACATTGTTTTTGGAACTCTTACATAGTCACATGGCTAAAGGAGCTAGGAATTTAAGAAAAACACCTAATATCCTGAGACTCAATCAAATCATAAGAGTTGGCAGCACTACCAGCCCTGGAGATTAAAGCCCTTTTTTTATCCACTGATCAGGGATGGTTTGAAAGTACCAGTGTGAGTTTCCCTGCAACCTCACTTTATCCCTATCTTAGAAAAGCACCTTCAAGGGTGAGAGGTATTTATTATGTGTACACCTGTGCACTGCCAATTGAATTGAGATTACCAGCTCAATTCATATAGGCCACTAAACAGCCCTAAAGTAATAAACTATTGGTCATTACTGACTTGTGCTGTTTTCTTTGGTGATCTGGAGTTGTGTTCTGTCTCCTGTTACTAACTCGCTACATCCAGTCCCATCTCCATGTGCATTCTCTCAGTCTCTCTGCTCCATTGTGTGCCTCCTTTTATAAACTCCATGATTAGTGCAAAAACATCAATAAAAAGGAAATTCTGAATTTAAATATATATTGAAAGCTGATCCTTTGGGAATAGCCAAGACCATTTGCCTCAGTCACAAGGGCAAATAGATATAGAGCAAGAATTGCACCTGTTGAAGCCCCTTTGATTTCTGTTAAGTGACAAGAGAAATATGATACCATAAAAACGGCCATACTAGATGAGACCAAAGGGCCATGTAGCCCAGTACGCTGTCTTCTGACAGTGGCCAATGCCAGATCATTCAAAGGCAATGAACAGAACAGAGCAATCATCAAGTGACCCAATCCCTGTCATCCAGTCCCAGCATCTGACAGTCAGAGGCTTTGTGACACCCAGAGTATGGGTCTGTATCCCTGACCATCTTGGCTAATAGTCATTGATGGACCTATCCTCCATGAACTTATCTAGCTCTTTTTTGAACCCAGTTATACATTTGGCCTTCATAACACCCCAAGCAATAAGTTCCACAGATTGACTGTGCATTATGTAAAGTAATACTTCCTTTTGTTTTTTTTTAAACTTGCTACTATTAATTACTTTGGGTGACCCCTGCTTCTTGTGTTATGTGAAGGGTAAATAACACTTCCTTATTCATTTTCACCTTATTCTCTTATTCTTCTTTTAGCTGTCTCTTTTCCAAGCTGAACAATCCCAAAAACTTTTTAATCTCTCCTCGTACAGGAGGTATTCCATACCCCTCCTCTGTACTTTTTCATTTCTAATATAACTTTTTTTAGATGGGGTGATCAGAACTGCATGCAGAATTCAAAGTGTGTGTATACCATGGCTTTATATATGGCATTATGAGTGAAGTGTGGAAATTGTTCATTAATTTAGACTTAATTGGTCTCAACTCTTACCCTTCAGGGGACAGATCCTTTAGGATTTGAGTGCACAAGGAATTCAGGATCCAGACTAATCTGAGTTCAAATAGTTTATTTCATATATTTTTAAAACTGAAAGTAATATCTGGACGGACAAATTCAGAGAGAAAGAAAAACTAGTGAGATGAATCATCACAAAACCCCACAGAAACTGTCAGCAAGGTCTTTTAATCAAGAGACAGGTTTTGTAACAGGAAAGATAATTAAGTTGAGATAAAAAAAACCCATTCCCAGCTCAAGATTCAATCCAGTCTAAGACACTGGATGGGGAGTCAACCTTCCCAAAGGCATTTTTCCTTCTCTCTTCACCTAACCATTCTTATTTTACCATCAACATCATCTATATTATTTATATTATGACAGTTCTTAAAGGCCCAGGCCCTACTGTGATAGGAACTGAACAAATACCCAGTCCCCCTGGTGCAAGGGAAAGCAGAAGTTGAGTTGAGGTTAAGCTGTTATTCACCCTATTACACATGCAGTATCTGCAATGGTAATGGAGAGTGAAAACCTAGAGAAAGAACAATCCTGTAGAAGGTCCATTTCTTACAAGTCAGGCATAACGATGATAATGCTTAGCAGTTATATGGCTCTTTCCCTCTTCAAAGAACTTTACAAATCCTTCATAACCCATGGTTTACAGGCTGCCTTTCAGAGACCACATGCCCCATACCATCTTGCCCAAGCTATCGGTCGGAAACACTCTAAGAACAATCAGAGGGCTCTTGGTTCTTACATCTTCCCAATCCTCATTTATAATATTTACTTTATAATGCTATAATACTTATATAGTTTAGGTATTCAATCAAAAAAGCACTTGAGTGGAAAACATAACAGGAGTGTATAAAACATACCCATCAAGGAGAGGAAATTGTAGCAAGCAGCAGCCCATCACAAAATGACCCCTAAGGGCTGTAGCTGTTTGACTTTGCCAAATTTTAAAAGCCAGTTCCAGAAAGGCATGCTGGGGGAAAATCCTATAAGAAGGCATCTCTAGACTAGAAAGAGTTGGAATCAGAAATTCCAAAGGAAGATGCTCCCAGAGAAAGGGTGGCCTTTGTGTTTTGTAAATATCTCTGTAGTTTGTTCTTCTAAAGATTGGAATACAAACCATATATTTTGTTTCCTAGTCCTGTACCTTAACTACAAGTCTATCTTTCTACCCTTACTCACTTCTATCGCCATTTTCTCCACCCTCATTCTCTTCTTCAATTCTTTACTTCTTATCCTCTACTGCAGGGGTTGGCAACGTTTGGCACGCAGCTTGCCAGGGTAAGCACCCTGGCGGGCCGGGCCAGTTTATTTACCTGCTGACGCGGTAGGTTCGACCGATCGCGGCCAGTGGGGGCTGCAATCGGCTGAACCTGCCGCGTCATTGCCGACATTGCCGACCCCTGCTCTACTGTTTAGCAAAGTTTACTAATTGTCTGTTCTTGTTTCAATGAGGTATATTATTAAATTAATGGAGATATCCTATATCATAGAACTGGAAGGGACCTTGAAAGGTCATCAAGTCCAGCCCCCTGCCTTCACTAGCAGGACCAAGTACTGATTTTTGCCCCAGATCCCTAAGTGGCCCCCTCAAGGATTGAACTCACAACCCTGGGTTTAGCAGGCCAATGCTCAAACCACCGAGCTATCCCTCCCCCGGGATTAATTAATCCTGTTTGCAGAGTGTGCTGTCTTTCAGGAGGATGCCTGGTGGCCTGCTAAATTCACCAGTATCTGTTAGGTACAGATGATACCATTCCATTCAGCCAACTATCCAGGCCTTGCACTTTCATTGGCACCCTTCTTTACCCTCACCCACTGAGGTCTAGCATACATATTAGCTATATGCAGGCCTATTCCCAAGCCACTTCCCTCACAATCTCCTTACCTTCTGTTTAGTCTCCTTCTATTGTCCTCTCCTACTGCAAAGCTTTTAGCCTATCCAAGCTCCATCGCCTTGTGGTATTGTCTTGCCTTCCCATTCATGCTCAGCATCCTGTCACTCATCTCTTCTTCTTCTCTCATACTTGGTGGCTTTGGGTAGGGAAGTGGGGTAGTCTTCATTCCTCTCCCACATTCTCATGGTTAATAGGGTGATTAGCACAAAATGGCCACTCACACCACACTGGGCCTTCCATGGAGATGAAGTGCCAGGTGAGGGCCAACCCTTCCTCATTCATGAAGTTTTCTGTGGATGTGGGATTCTAGGCAGCCCCTTTCCTGTGTCCGGAGAAGGGAACACTCATCTCTCCAGCCAAATCATGGCTGAAGTCTTCGTATAGTTGCAAATATTTCTGCACATTATCTATGGCCACAGCAGTCAGCAGACTGCCAGTGCCTCCAGCCCAAGGGTTAGGGGAGAATGCCTAGTACTATCTGCAGAAAATTCAATAGGTGGGAAGAGCAGTAACCTGTGCCTGGCACCCTAACTACCCTAAAGTCCCAGTGTGGAGGGGAACAGCAATCTAAGGCCCC